ATATATTCATATTTCATCTTTAATAAATTTAACTATAATGGTGCTACTCTTTTTAATTATTATCATAGGTACTGTCATTCTCGCATAGTTATTGAATAAACCTTGAATATACTCCATGTGTGCAGATCCAAAAATGTATAATAATACCATCTGAAAATATATTGCCTATATTAGCATATAGAGGCTTATAAAATTATTCAAAATGTTAGCAAACTATTTTTTTTTCTTTAGCTCTTTAATATAACCCTGTTACAATAATCTATCTTGATGATTAATCAAATTGCAAATAAGAATCACAGTTTTTATATAAGATTCTTAGATTCTACTTTCCATGAAGGTTCATGGAAAAGGCAACATTTCAAAATCTTATGTTTAGCATGCAGTTACCATTATTAATGATAAATTCCTGTGTGAATATAATTTGGATTTTGTCAGTAGACAGAAAAAGCATTACTGATTTTATAATATAAAGTGTACTTGAGCATACAGCAAACATTAATCACACTTGCAACCAGGTCTGCTACAGTGAAGCATAATAAAGTACTGTGATAGATTTTGACTGTTCAGTATATTTTATATACTGAAACAATAGATTTAGATTAACTCACCTCTAATGCATGACAATGAATTAGATCTTCATTAACCTATTGGCTGTAATATTTAATGCACTAATATAACTCCAAGTATGTACTTGAAATAAAGTTATGCATGTTCTTCATGTATTTTATATACAAAAATGATACTGGATCTGAAGTTCAGCCTCTCCTGCATAATTTAGGGCTTGAGAAGAAAGACTGGAGAGTTGGTTGACCCTAACACAGGGGACAATCTTTCAAAAATGTGGCCTTGATTGTAATAGGATAGCAGCAGAAGATGGGGGATGTTTTCCTTCTTGGGGCAGGCGGGGGGAATAGGGGCAGAGTATAATCAAAACCACAACTTCTATGAACCTGCCCATGATTTACAGCTTCCACTGAAAGTCCTTTTACATATTGTACCATCTACAAAATCATTGGCAATATTTTCAGGCACGAAGCTCTACTGCACAAATGTATGCGATCATGGTGGCAATGGGGTGAATGAGTAATCTTTAAAAAATCTCTAAAAATGTCACAAGTCTAGCAAACCTTGGGAAGTCATTTCTGAAGCATCATGCAGCCTTTTGCAAAAATATTGAACTTTGTAAGTTTGATGGTTTCACAAGATCTTAACGAATCAGAGCAATGCATTCACATTCAGCAGTTTGGATTCGGGCACAATCTCAGTTTAGTCAGCACCTGCATTCAGAGGGTGCTCGAATTAGAACTTGTCTCCAACAGTTGCTTCATACCTTGGTGACAACTTAGATTCCTCCAGCAGCTTTTTAAACTCTTCTTTGGCTAGCAGTAGCTTGTTTTTCTTTTCCTTATATTCTTCTCTTATTCTCGTCTTGACAAACTGCTCAAATATCTTAAAGAAAGAGGAAGGGAGAAAAGACAGGTCACAGAACATCAAATGAGTTACCTGTGAAGAAAGGCACTTCCTTAAACCAAACTTAGAAAGCCTGTTGTAGAAGAGTTTATTAAAATTAGTTTATCGCTGCTTCCACAGCTGTATTTTTTATTAATGTGCAATGCTTTCAGACCAGATCACGTAAATCTATAAATACAGTACAAATACTTTCAGGTGAATAAGTTTCATCCTAAAGATTGTGTCTTGAGCTTTTAGCTTAAACTTTTTTGAACAGGTGGAAAGGTCTACTAGAATCACAGGAGGAGGAGGAAGAGGATTATTGTTTAAATGAAAGGGAAAATTCTAAACTCAGCCTTCAGCAACAGTACAAAAGAATGTGTTCTAGTGATACTTGCTAGAACATTGGCATTATTTCATATGATGATCTATCTCATCCGAGAATTTGTAACAACTTACACTGTGAATGTAAAAACTGCTTAACTGAACTTGGTATGACTTGCATAGAATGAGATCAGTTTTGTTTTTGGATCCTAAGGTTTTTCATTTCCAAAGATGGGAGGCTGAATTATTTTTATTTTTACTTGCAGCTCTCTCTCTGTGTCTTCACAAATTACCTCTGGTCTAATTTGAAATGTCTCTGAAACATGCTGTCACAGAAATTTCTAAATAATATTCAATAGTCTGTCTTTCAGTGCACTCAGCATTGAGACTGATACAATATCTCTAATGTTCAGCAAAAATACCCTTGCTCTCCTTCTATTCTATTTACAGCTATGGATTGCCTGATGAAGTGTCTTGGAGAAAACACAACTTTGAAATCAATGTGTGATATGTGTGTGTGTTGTGAAGTTTTTTTATTTAGCTTTAGAGTTTTCAAATTATTTTAGCCTTCACAGGAGAACATTTATCACCTAGCTACTAACCTCCACTTTCATTGGCTTTCAGGAATTGTATATATTAAAATATGAATGGGGATGGGCCTCAGAAAACCAGTTCCATGTTAATGGATATACTTTCCCATGTTTGAAATGTGACCCAGTGAAATAAACCCATTGTGCAATTCCAAAAATGGTTATAACAAAACAAATCTCATTCTAACATATGGAAATGAAATGTTCAGCAATAAAAATGAATGATATAATAAAACATTATTTTGTTGTGGTTGTATCCTCTTAATCAAGAATTTCTGAGTAGAGTTTTGGGGTTTTTTTCCCCGGGAGACCTTAAATATTTGCTACCAATTGGATGATATTGTGTTAGGCTCAATGATGTAATGTTTCACTCTGGTCTGATCTGGACTTCCTGTTTGTTCCAGTGTGAGGATACCATTTCAGAAGGACAGGAATGGATGGGATTGTCCTCAGCCCACCTTTAGCCTGCTAGGAAGGCAACCTCCATCGAAATTTTCTTATTCTGCATCAAAAGTAGTGTCTTTTCTCCCTCCGCTGAATCAACAGGGGAGTCCAGTCAATCTGTAGCATTTCATTCCATCTTATACAAGTACCTCCATTCCAAGTGACTTTTATATGTTCTGGTGGGCACATCATTCCAGTCCCCACTTTCTCTTTTGATGGTCATTTTGTATTGGGTTGCTGAGTTGCCTGCTATAAAGGCTGGACTTTTAAAAAACAGATTCAGCTGTATTCACTGCAGTGGCTCATTGTAACAGTAGTCTAATCAGTGCACCACCTGATTAGACTATTGCTACATACTCTGCTTGGGACTACCTTTAAAGACTCCCTGGAAGCTTACGTTGGTACAGAATGCAGTGGCCCAAGTGCACTGGCCTCCTATTAGCTTCTGGGTCCAATTTAAAGTGCTGATCTTAACCTATAAAGCTTCCTATGGCTGTCACTGAATCACTGCAGGACCATATCTTCCCATTGGAGTCAGCCCAACCACTTCGATCATTTTGAGAAAAGCAGATGGCTATCCCTTATTTTGGGGAGTGGGGGCTGAAGCCCAGAAGTACTGTTCTTCTATGATAAGGCTGGCCCTTTGGAATAGATTCCCATTAGAGGTCTGCTTGTTTCCAACATTACTGGCTTTCCAGAAGAAGTTGAAAGCAGAGCATTTCCAAAGTGCTTTGGGGTCTAATCCCATCTATTGTTTTATGAAGCTTAATGTATTTATCAGATGCTTTTATTTGATTATTATCTTTGGCTTATCATCGTGAACTGCCAAGAGTCTTCTCTGGCTGTGGTAGAATATAAATCAAATGAATGAATGACTAGTGAAATGCTGGCCCTTCTTTCTTTCCTATCAGGTTCAACACAGCAATGGTGAAATGTTGGCCAGGTGTTCTGCCTAGTTTCCACTTCTAGTCCAAGTGACAGGAAGAATGTTAAAACTTGTTTTTCCCCACTAATTTTCAAAGGGTGAAAAGCAATTGGCCGTTACATGAGTGGTAGGGCAAAAGAAGCAGGGACCACATTAACCACCATTCAGACAGAACACCTGTCCACTACTGTCATCAAAATGGAGGAAAGATTTGAAATTTGAGAGAAAATTTGAGAGAAAATCTTTCTTAACCAACTTTATTTCCAGCCAGTTTATTGACAAGAGACAAATGGCTAAAGGTTGCAGTGCAAAAAAGTCCTTACTATAGTGTAGTATATGTTCATAAGGGAGCTTAATCAATTCACTAGTAGATATGTAAATGAGCCATTGTGTATGTCTTGTTCAAATTTAACAATAATTGATTTGACAGGTTATATCTGACTACAAAACTGAATTGTTTTCACAACGATAATTTTAGTTGTGTGTGCTTTTCTGCACCATCCCACAGCTCATAGTATTCTTCTTTTTATAACTGTAGGGTAGTCATAGTTAATCTATTGTGACCTTTTCAGTGTAACTGATGTGAGATGAGACTAAATGCCAATAAATCAAGAGAAAGTTCAATCCACAATCCAATTTTAATCCATTTAGTTCCAGAGTAAATGGTTTCCATGGAAAGTATGGAGAGGAAGTAACTTGAGAATTATTCTAAGTAACCAATATAAATGCAAGGCATTTGGGGGCCAGAGTTCATTATCATGTACAGTATATGTTCAGTGTAACAAGGAGTTGAGTTTTAGCTGGTGAAGACCTGTTGGGTAGAAGCTATGGCTAATTGCAACACCACCATTCATAACTCCCCTGCTTTATGGACTGGTATAACATACTAGGGGGAAAACCCAAAACCCACATCTAGAATTCTGGGAGTTGAACTCCACACACCATAAAACTGCTGAGGTTGAGAAACACAGGTCTAGAAGATTAAGAGCTAAAATTCCATAATATAGAAGGTTCCAGGTTAAAAAAAAACTTAGTATTTTAGATTCCATGTAAAAAATATATTTTGCAGCATATGTTAATGGCACTGGGAAAGATTTATATCACAAAACATGGAGTGTTCTAGACCAATAATGAAATAGATCAATAGTCTATATTGCTGTAAGTCTGTATCTTTTCATAAGATATTTTTGAAATGTATGCTGAAGGGAATGCCCAAAAGTAGCTTAACTGATGAAGAATAAATATACTAGGTTGATTCTGTAATCTGCTAGCTGAATCCTGAAGGATTTCGGTCCAAAGAAGATTCATGATCCTTCATAGGAATTACTGAGAGAACGGAACTGGTCCCAGGCAGGTAATTTCAGCAGAAATTCCTAAAGATACAACTTGATATGCCAAGTTCAAGGCTTGAGCTTGACTAGAGGCTTTCAGGCAGACAGCATGGCACAGTTAGATAAGAACATTTACTGAATATTTGGATGAAGCCTTATCAAACAGTTAATTGTCCTCTGTTGGAGTGAGGATGCAGATTGTCTCTTACATCTCAGGATGGTTGAAATCCATTGCCACTCCTTCCTGCTCAGTTTCAATGGATTCCTTGCAGTACTTTTCAAGGCCTTGAAGTTGAATAGCTGTTGATGTGTTATCAAACTGATTCCTCTTCACTGAGAAACACAGCTCTCAGCCTGACTCTCACAGGAAGCAGCAATATTCATTGATTTCCTCTGCAATTCAGGCTTCACCATGCAGGCCAGAATAAACTTAAGTGACCTCACAAGAAATTCAAGAACTTTGGATAACTCATATTTATTGAAGAAAGTAGGAAGCCATAGCCAATGGATTTTATCAATTAGCCCTTTTGCATTTTATTTTTCTTCCCACATTATAGAACAGACTACTTGGATCCTTTTTTTTGAATTGACTAGTCTGTCTCCATCCATCTTTTGTTTCTGTAACTATTAAATTTATCATGTTGTTTTTCACTGACTGTGTGAGAAGTGAGTCTCACACTCCCAATGTAGTGCTTTATGCGTGTAGTACACATGCACACACACACACACACATACACACACACATACTCTGAAGAATCATATTTATCATTCAAATTCTATGCTTTTCCACTTATCTTAAGTAGAGCTAGCAGATCTGGGCCACAAGAATATACATGACCATCAGATAGCATCAAAGAGTTAAACAAAAACCTAAAAACTGGCATCTCTTTGCTGCTATCTAATGCTCATCTGTCTTTTTGTAGCCCAGATCTGATAGCAATAATTTTTCAGGGAAATCTTCAACTCGACCCTGACTCCATAAACATTGAGAACATTGTGTTCCAAAATGTTTCAGATCAATGCTAACATTTCAGTCTGTTATTCTATTCTGCACAATAGGCAGGTTGGCTTTTAATGTTTCCCATAAGGTTGTCCACCACCCACATTCAAACAGAATTCATGTATCCTTAGTTCTTGAAATCTGCACAAAGTGTTAGCTTTTAACCTCACCATCATTTAGTCAGACATATTTCTTTTGGCTTTTGACCACAGCCTCTTATGCTGCGCTGGTTTAACAGAGGATTCAATTAAAAGTGAGGCAAATAAACTAGCTTTATGCATCAATCTTTCCAAGTAGCAAAATAACATGTATAAGACCTCATGAAATGCCTTCATCAAATATTACATTTTTCTTTCTTATTTACTAATCCAAAAGTACAAAATAAAACTTTGATCTTTTAATCAAAGAAAATCTGATAGGGGCTTTTCATATTGGCTGAGTACCCAAAATATGCAGAAATGAAGTTCATGTCACCAATGTTTCTGAGTTAATATCTATAATCAAAACTTTCACTGGTCATTAAATAATTATACTATAGCATGCATATGCTTAATAAACGAAAGGGATAATAAAATTGGTGGACTAATTAGGCTGTGTCTTTACTTCAGTCACCAAAAGAAATACAGAGTTCTCTGGGCTTTATGAAATATTATTTCAAATCTACTGTTAGCTCCTTACTCCAAATCCTCATAATCATTTTAGAGTGAAAATGCAACTATACACTGAAAATATATATATTTAGAGATATCTCACTATAATATTTAAATTTAATATTAGTCTTTGATAAATAGAAGAAAGGAAGGATTAAAAATTGATCATTTTAAAATTATTTTCTAGGCATCAGCAGAGGGTCAGACCCAAAAGTATTCTTCCTCTCATCCAAAATAATAATAACAACAACAAACTCTTTTTGTAAGTAGAAAGCTAGGCCAAACAATAGCAACAAGCCTCAATTTGCAATATATTTTGGCACACATGAAAGAAAATCACAAAAACATCCCTTCTCATTGTAACAAATTAAATAACAATAAAGTATAATTCATAGCCATAACAACAAATTTAAAAACTAACATTTTGCTGCCCATCCATGACAACCAAAACCTGTTGTAGTCATCTTACTCTGGGTAATGGTAGGGACAGCTTTGATAGAAAAGCCTTCTCTTCATCCAGCATTATATTTTTCAACCTGATATGCTCTAGACCATTAAAAGAAAAAAAGGTTGAGAATCTATGATTTTTCAGCTGTTGCTGGAGTTTCCTAGCATCCTTTACCTTTGTGCTGTTGGGAATTGTAGTTCAACCATATCTGGGAATCACAAGTCATCCTTCCATGCAATAAAAGAAAGAATAATTCCACATAAAGGACTTTTGTTGAAGTGCATAGTATCAGATGCTAGATACTACATGTAAGCCCATGAAAGCATTGGGGATAGTCCTCAGGGCCACTCCAATGTAGTGACTGAACTGTCTCTCTTAATGCAATAGATAAATATGCAGGAAAAATCATATTAGCTATTTTTAATTAAAAACAAATGCCATGTTTTTGTCCAAACTGCTTCTTTGACCTGTCATCTACATTCTAGATTAAAGATTTTGACATGAACAGGAAGCAGGGATTAAAGTTTAAAGAAAAAATATAATTCTGGTCACAAAAGCCCCCTATCTTGAAATAATAAAATATAATCAGGGACAAAATAAAAACCAAAAAAGAGGAAGTAGTATAAGGAGATCAGGCATTGTTTCTTCATATGTCTTCATTAGAAGACCTTTGCAGTTCCATACTTAGATTTATCTGGAGCTTCCCAGAGATACACATATTTATTTCACCAGTAATGAACATCTTCGGGAAGCTCCTGTCATCTATGAAAGCCATATGTTTACATTAGATTTCATATTCAACTCGCTTGATCAACCCGACATTTTGCACTAGCTGGTTGTACTGTCATCAGTTGGGCAGTGAGTTAAGGACTGTTCTTTTGCACTGCTATAAGCAATGCTGGGACAGTGATTGGAATCACAGTGTAGATGGAGGGAGTGGAAAGTGGGGGGAGAGTTTGACAGTGTTTCTCAAACTTGGCAATTTTAAGATGTGTGGACTTCAAGAATTCCCTAGCCAGCTGCAAATATATATCCACACATGTGTGGCAGAGAGAGACAAACATACATGGATTTCCACATGTCCATATGAATGCATGGAAGTACTTGATGGGTCCATATCAGCATGTGCAACTCAGGATCTACCAGCCAGTGCTCCATATAAACCTCAGAACTAATATGGTATAAATAGTACAAATTCTCCCTGTTTCTTACTTTATCTTTAAAACATAGAGTCAAATACCCCAAATGTTATAACATACGCATGCCATGTTTACCGAAGGTGCCTTATACAGCCCAAATTAAAATGTAAAATACTTTTTATAAAAATGTTGTGTAGCTAAGAAAGAAAGAAAAAACCTTGTGGGTGATAACATCTAATCATAAAACGCCTCTTGATAGAGAATGATCTGGGGCTTTCTTTATGGCACCAAGTGAAGACTGATTTAAATCTCCCTGGCTATTAAAATGTGCAGTTTAATAATAACCCATTTTTTACATGTTGTACATTTTTATTGATGTTCTAAAACTGACAATGCAATTTGACCTTTAATGAAATTATTTACTTTATTATTTAAATTTTATGATCCATTTTACTCTATACCGTAATTAAAAAAAAAGCCATCAAAAGTAGAACTCACCTGTTTACGTTCTTCTGAGTTGAGTAGAAGATAACGTGGATCAAATACAATTTTGTGAAGTTCTTTTTCCCATGTGGAAAAGGCAGAGACCTGAAAAAAATGTTCATGAAAGGGACATAAACAATGTTCTAAAGGCTTGGGAATTAAATCAGAAGTAGATACCAATATCTTGCTAAAAAATATTATAATGTACAGTATTTCCATTTGCAATAATATAATTTATTATTGTAGCAGAAGCAAAAAAGTCATCATAGGAATTTAGATTAAAAGAAAAATGGGCTACAAGAACTAGGAAAAAGAAAAGAAAATATTTGTTTCCTAAACTTAGACTAGAAAGTAAATAAAAAGTGATATTTTTGTTTAAAAAGATCTGAAAAGATGGTATCATATACAGTAGATTGGGAATCTAATAATAGAATGATTATGGCCATCCCATTGACTAAGATTTACCTTTTTAGCAAATGTTGTTAACCCAGCATGTATTCAGATGAATTCTTATCCAGCTTTTACTCTTTCTATGCATGTTCAGATTTTGTTCAGAGGCTTTCTGAACATTTCAGCAATTCAAGAGGCTTTAAGCTGAAGAGACACTGGGCTAATTCACTATGAAAGTCACTGCCTTTCAGTTGGCCACCATGTACATTTTCCATCCTCCTTTATCTATTGGGAGTGTCAAAAAATTAACCAAGTTTATTTATAGTTCAAGCTTAAATTCATGGGAGGACAATTCCTTTATTAGAACAAACCAAGAATTCTTCAGAATCTCCAATTCATCAGGCTACAGCATTGGGTAAGGAAGCTAGCTGCAATTTCATATCCACCACCACTAGTCATGTTCAATAGGCTCAGGATACTCTGAAAGATTTTTCTACTCCTAACCAGAGATCCAATACAAGGAATCCTCATTTAGTGATCACAACTGGGACTGGCAACTTGGTTGTTAAGCAAAGCAGTTGCTAAGTGAAAATCACATGACCACAGCTGTGCTTATGATTTTACTTCAACTTTCCTTTGCTTTAGAGCATCAGAAGGATACAACCCCAAACAGCCAGGTGAGCCTAAATGGCAGAGAAGATTTCCAGAACTCAACTCATGAGGAAGCCAGGCAGAAAAGCAAATTTTATAGCTCTTTTTCACCACTCCCCCACCGCTTGGAATGCTCACTCTAGGGCTGGGATAATTAGCAAGAAGGGAAATAATGTTTGCATTTACATTCATTGTAGAGGAAGGGATTACAAGAGAGTAAGCAGGCACACAATGGGGAATGGACATTGAAAGGAATGCGCTAACGCTGGCTGTTTGCCTAGTGAGCTCCCTGCTTAACCCACCAGCAGCTTAGTAGACAAAAAGGCCTTCATTGTGAAACTGATTAGGGTCTTGTCAGTGTCAGGCAGCAGAGCAAGCCTGTGGGAAGGTTCTGATCAACTAATTAAAGTCACAGAGCTGAGCTTGTTAAGTTGTGGTTAGCACTTTTTAGGGACATGTTGCACTGTGGAGAAAAGTAGCTTAGGAAGAGATACAGTAGTTTGTTTAGGCAAACTCTCTGCTCTATGGGCAGTGGGGGAGCAGATCAGGAACGGAACAATGTGTACCAACTGACTGTAATGGAGAACATGTGACTGAGAGAGAGAGACTCTGCAAAGGTTGTAAATGCAGGCATTGGTTGCAAAGTTTATTTTTCATCACCATCATAACTATGAACGGTCACTTTCTGAGGCAGTTGCTAAACAAGGACTACCTCTTTGGTTGAGTATGTGGCAGCTGGACATACAAATTACCAAACTTCATTATTAAATAACATCCAATTTCTGCCTTTAACTATTCATCAGCACCTGGTGATTATGCCATGAGACAATTTCTGTTTACAATTTTTATGTGGTCAATTCTGATCAATAAACATTTATACCACAATTTAAAAATATTATTTTTAGCATGTCAAAGGACTTATTCTTGTATTTACTGCAACTGCCTAGTAGAGCTACTCCTGCCTTATGTGCCCTTCATCTCCACTTACTCACAAGCCTTATTTGTAATGGGTAATGTTGCTATTATTTCTGAAGAAAAATTAAAGTATAAAGATTATGAGATGTGTGCAGAGAACCTGAACAGCAACACCAATTTTAATGACTTGTAATTTGTATTTTTAGAGGATATGGAATAAATCTGTAAGCCTGGTCTTCAAAGCAACCTGCAAGTGAAGTTAACTAAAAATAAATGCAAGAAAGCTCTTAAGACTAGCATGAATATCCAATTAATTTCAATACACATTTGTTTCCTAGATGCTAAAATTACTTTTCTAAGTGATCATTGCATCCAGTCATTGTACTGAAGAAGCTGCTTCTCTCTAATGCAGTGTCATGGGTTGGGGCTCTGTTGAAATGATGCAGATATTTGGACAGAGAAGATCACAACATTCTTTCCCTTCCAATCAGCATCGTGCCAAAATGGAGAATGGCAATTGTATTATAAGGGTCACTGTGATTTCCCTTGCAGTACCTGGAATTTCAAGTATTACCACTGCAAGATAAAGCAAAATAAAAATATTAACTCAATGAGTTCCATTGTATCACAACTGCTAAATAAATGATTGCATAATCAGCCAATAATTTTAATATTTCAAAATGATTTCTTTTACAATTTAACCGGTCCTGTTTTATGATGAATTTAGAAGATAATCATGAATAATATAATTAAATCCACATCAAATAGTTTAGAAGTGTAGATGACATAATTATTTAAGACGAGCTAGACATCAGAGATTGGAATTTGCATGTAACTCAATATACTGAAATAGGTCCTCATCAGATGATTTAATATTCCCCAGTCTGCTACTACCTTCTAGACTGAACTATGACTCCATAGTTCCCATTTTATTACCTATGCTGGGTGGATATTATAGAGCTGTAATCCAAGTGTCTGGAGGGCACCAGGTTGGAGAAACTTACGTTACTGAACTGCTACATGGAAATAGCAATGCTTCAGACAGCATAAGCAAACATGCACAGGATCAAGAAAGATGATAAGCACAAATCATATGCATATTGTTTCCTTTACAATATCTAACCTTATGTACAATAAATGGCAATAACGTAATAGCAAAAGGTGTTAACTATTGATAAGAAAGTAATATTAACAACCGGTCTAAACCAATAGACTCTTGCAATGTACGTATATATTGAAATTATATCCTGTTGTCCTATATTACAGGAATCAAGACAATCCCAGCCAATTTCTTACCCCTCTTTCCAGAAGCATATCTCGAAAATGAGTAATGCGTTCCTCCAAGGGAAGCGTAATCTGATGTTCTGATGTTTTCACATTTTTCTTTTCCATTGTTATTTTTTCTAGCTCAGTGTTCTGTGAATTTTCCAGCCTTAAATAATATAAGAGATACACAAAGTGAAATATGCATTTTTAAACTCTTGGTAAACTTTAGAAGCTCAACAGCAACTAGGAAAATATAAGCAATAAATCTTTCTCTGCAGTGTATTTGGAAGGTATCTGTTAATTTTTTATCTGACCCACTCCATTATCATGCTATTAGTAAAATGTAACAGCACAAAGCTATGGTGTTAGAACAAACTTTTAACCCATTAAAAATTGGCTTTTTCATATAAACTAACAAAAGGTGCAGGAAAAGGGCTACTACCAGTGTTCTCATTCCAAATGTCTGCATCATTTTCAAGAGCTACACATCAACGTTTGTCCATTTAGGCAAAAATCTAAAATGGAATTCATTGGGTGCTCAGTGAAATGTATAAAGAATCTTTGGGCATGTTCATGGTGCCTGATAACATGGGCATGTTAAATAAGTTCAGCCAATCACATGAAGAATCCCTCCCCCCCCCTTTTTTTTTTCTTAACAAGACAGGGTAGAAAAGGAAAAGACGATGGGGTGGGAGAAATATGACAAGAAGATAACTAAAAACAATAAGTAAAAGTGCAGCAGCCTTCTACATGATTGATACTGCCTAGTCTATTCTTACTGGCAAGACTTGTCAGGGTCTGAAATCATTCACTAAATACCTTATTTTGGGAGCCTTTGGCCAGAAAAACCTTCCCAAGACATTTCCTACTTTAAGGTAATAGGACTTGGAAAACAATGAAGTAAGAAGATATTTTTATATTCCACTTCTATTACTCAGTGCACTTACTATATGCTTACTTAAGAAAGAGTGTGAAGAAGTGATTAACCCTGAGATTCAAATAGAGGATTTGGCCTGAAATAGCGATTTAACCGAGAGCCAGGTTGGTGTAGTGGTTAAGGCATCAGACTAGAATCCAGGAGTTTGTGAGTTCTAGTCCTGCCTAAAGCATAAACCCAGCCAGTCACTCTCTCTCAGCCCTAGGAAGAAAGCAATGGCAAACCACTTCTGAAAATCTTGCCAAGAAAACTACAGGGACTAGTCCAGGCAGTCACCAGGAGTCCACTGACTCGAAGGCAAGAACAACAAAAAAAGTGATTTAACTACCTAGCTTGGTTGTTTTCTTCCTGTCAAGAAATTTAAAACAAGAACCGTCATTGGTTCCCCACCCCACCCCAACTTACTTTGTACTTGTTTCTTCTTTAAGAAGGAATGATTAACAATACAACAAATAGAAATCAGGCTAACAGAGCTCTGCCTTACGACCTAGCCATCTATTTTATTTGATCTCATCTGAAAAGTGCAACAGATTTTTTTGCATAACCACAGCAGTCTGGAAAAGGTATTATATTTACACTTTTTAATTTGAAGGGCTAATTTCCAGAATGTTGGAACTTTTTTAAAAAGGAAGGGTCCTAGATATCCAGATGTCCAAGTGAAATATATTCTGAAGAAATCTATATATTCAACTGCACGTCTCCAGATTCTGAGGTTGCAGAACACATCAGTGAGGGACATGGGCTGCTAATATTCTATCATTTGAAAAATCAAGTTCCTGTTTTAAATGTATCACTGTTTTTCAGAAACTAGTTTTTAAAACTTAATAAAAGGAGGCTGATGTTCAGTAGCAACACAACTTGGACACCAAGTGAAATCAACCAAAAATTAGAAACTAGTGAGAGAGAAAAAGAGAGGTCAGTTGTAATAGAAATGCTAAAATCAACTTTCAGGTAATGAATTGCATTCCCCAGTTAAGCAATATGGGTCCTAACTTATTATCTTCTTGCCATCAATAATCGCATTACGCAATTTCACTCTTAAATTATACTGAAATGGGTATTGCAAGGTATTAGTAGCACTAAAGCCATCAAATTGTCACTTTTCATATTAGAATAGTGACTTGGATATTGTATTAGCTATTTTAATTCTTTCAAATTATAACATTCTGTAATATGATCTATGAAACTTCCAATCTAATTTCTGGTAACTACCAAGCATTTATAGTCAGTGAAATGGATAGGAACCAGAAAGCTAAATCATCAGCAAAGGCAGCTGGAGAGAATCTCTTTCTTTCAGTATAGTTAATTAAAATGATTCAACAAATCAAATAGTTGTGAATTTATATTTGCACCTAAAACTACCATAAAAGAAAAATGAATTATACCACTATGCAAATTAAAGAGTGTTAAACCAGTGTATTAAAACTCTGGAGTTTGAAGGATATATAAATGGAGTTGACTATACTTTTTCTTAACATTGTATCATTTTAATGTTGTTTATCATTATCTAAACATGAAAACAAAATATCAATATGAATATTTATAATAAAATATATATTATCACTAGGAATCTAAAAAAAGGGATGAGTTCAGATAGTTACCACAGTTAAGAGCATAGCACCTTACTCTCATTTGTAAAATAATTATTCATGATTGTGGGTAGTAGGTTTGTTTATTCCATGAGATGTCCACTGTTCAGGCCAAAATAGTTTTGTTTCTTCCTCTATTCTGCAAAGGTTAAATAAAACCCCTAGAGAAATTTTATTTGAAGACAGTTTCTGTAAAGTTCCTAGGAGTTGTAAAGGAAATTTTAGAAAACCTGTGTGGTGTAGTGATTAGACTAGATATAAGAAGTCTTGGAACAAAACTTTTCTCATCACTTGGATGTTTCCTAGGGACTGAAAGCTGTAATTCAGCAATATCTCAAGAGCCATAGGTAGTCTACACTCGGTTTGAGGAACAGAAGAGAAAGATCTCTCACTCACTCACTCATTCTTCCTTTGTACTGACAATTAGTAATTAACATAGGAATTGAGATTTAATTAGTTATTCTCTAGTTGAGAAAAGAGATTGTTTCATTGTCTTCTGACATGTCTGAAATAGTTGAACATCTCTAAGAGTAGCCTTTTTCTTAGCTAGTTGATTGATTGATTGATTGATTGATTGATTGATTGATTTTTATCAGGTCCTTGTCAGCCCATGGCAACCACGTAGACAGACCTTTTCCATGATGATCTGTCCTGAAACTGGCCTTTTGGTCACTTTCAGCAGTAACAGAGAAACCACCACTGCTATAACGAATCCATCCATCTTGCTGCTGATTGGCCTCTTCTCTTCCACCTTTCTCAGCATTACGGACTTCTCAAGAGAGCTGGGTCTTCACATAATGTGGCCAAAACATGATAATTTGAACCTGGTGATATGTGCCTCGAGTGAGAACTCTGGATTGATTTGTCCTATGTTAGTTTTCTTGGTTATTCATGATATTCACAGGAGTCTTTTCCAACATCAAAATTCAAAGGTGTCATTCTTTATATTCTGCTTCTTCAAAGTTCAACTTTCATTTCTGTAGAGGTTAGTAAATTATGATGAAGATTTAGTGAAGCTACGCCTGTTCATGGCCATTCCACTGGCATTTGGGAGGGAGGCAACAATCCAGGATTTGTTCTTAAAAAAATATGTTTTGACTTCTTTGTTCATCTGTGAAATTAAACTCATATTGTTGAACTAATCAGGACTAAAACAATTTTTTATACAGCGGTCTTGGCTGGCAGAACTTTCACTAGGATATTTAGATTTGTTATCTCCACAGCAGAATTTTTCATCTCAATATGTATTCAGTATCAGCAATGGACCCAAAAGGAGCCTTTTCATTCCTGTTTCTTTCTTTAATTAGGTATTCCTCATTCATGAATGGCCATCTATCTATCTAATTCAGTGTGACAGGCAACACGGCAATCACTAAACAATGTATATACTTGCATTATACAGGGCATCCAAAAGACAGAGCAAGAAGCAATGACTTTAAATTATAAGGAAATTGATTTTGATTGACTATCAAAAAAAAAAAAATTCCCAGCAGTAACATCTATTCAACAATGGCCCAAACTTCCTTAGGAGGTGGTAAACTCTTCTTTTCTGGAGGTGTTTAAAAAGAGGCTGGATGATTATCGGGCAGAGATGCTGTTTTACTGGATTACTGCACTGGGTAGCAGTTTGGATGAGATGATCTCCAAGGGTACTGCCAATCCTTATATTCTCTGAATCTGTGATTTCTTAGGAATATGTTAGGCTTCAATACAGTTCAAAAATTTCAGAAGGACACAATAGTTCATTATAAGAAGAATGATTGTACTATAGCTCTGGAGCATCTGATCATGATTTCTGTCTTTATGCCTAAAGTGATTTAGAAGAAGGAGGAAGGAGGAAGGAGGAAGGAGGGAGGAGGGAGGAGGGAGGAGGGAGGAGGGAAGAGGAAGAGGAGATTTTTTGCCAGCATTGGCCTTCTCCTCCTTTTTTAAAAAAAAAATAGCCTTAAGACTTACTTGTTTCTCTTTGTTTTGATGCTGTTGTCATCACTTATATCCTCTGGATCTGTGCCATCTTTATCTGCTAAAAGGAAAAACAACTAGTTAGATATATGACAACTATGTCATTAAACTAACCAGATCAACCAGTTTAAATTTTGTTTTATTAGTTGGTTCACTTTCTAAATTTTCCCTTTCTCTCGCCATTACAAATGATTTAAAAGGTCAGTAGTAATTTGTTATTCTCACTAGTTTAGAAATGTCTCTGTCTTTGTGTGCATTACATACACCTATACCTCCATTTCTTTCTTTCTCTCTCTTATTATACTTATAACAGGTTAGAGAGTTACAGTTTTAGAACTTGCTGGGAATCAGGGAAATGCAGTCCAGCACATTTGGAAGCAAGGATAATGCAGAAGTAGTGTTACCTATGTGCACATTAGTTAATCTATGCATATAAAACAGGCATTGATAATGACCTGATTGGATTGTGAAACCTATCACATTCTTTCCATGGACAGGCAACAAACATCAGTCATTGCAGGTTCAGGCATGGATAACAGAAGTGGGAATGGCACACCAGGTAGGCAGAGAGTAATAACTCCTTAACTGTCCATTGTCTAGGACTTTCTCAATGGTGAAAATGAGTCTATGAATCCTTTTTCAAGGATTTAGTATCCTTGAAAAACAGTTCTCTCAAAATTTTTGATTTGCAAGCACTATGAAGAAATGCAGAAAAGAAAAATCACTGTAATGGATGAACTAGTAGCCACATTGTATTCACTGTAAACTTACAGTATAAACAAGTTCTTCAACAATCAGCCTTGTGCAAACATTTACTTAAACGGCCTCTTCTGCATTGTGAGTATGCCAGCATACTGTCTATGCCTCCTAGTTGGTGAGATGCAAGCAGCAATAGGTTGGCTTGCAAGGCAGTTTCTAGACTAGAGATCCTAGCTTGCATAGAACAGCATGAACATGCCTGATGTAAATATGGAGTTTGATTGTGCTTATGGCATACAGGCCCCAATGAGCCAAAACCGATTGGAATGATCCCTACTGTTAGGCCTTTGAAAAGATATTCAGATGCCCTGATATGTCTATACCTACAAATATCAGAATAGTACAAGCCAAGGTATTCCCTGTGACATTCTCTGGAAGCAAAAGTTGGGTTTTGAAGAAGGACAGGAAGAGTATTGACACTTTTGAACTTTGGTGTTTAAGAAGGCACCTGAGAGTACCATGGACAGCCAAGAAAACCATGGATCATCAAACAAATAAACCCAGAGTTCTCACTCAAGGCACAAATGACCAGGCTCAAATTATCCTACTTCAGACTCATTATGCAAAGGCCTAATCTGGAGAAGGCTCTAATGCTGCTTTGCTGCTTCTGAGGATTTTTTTTTTTTTTTTGTAGATGACAGAAGAGTTCACATAACTGATTAGCAAGCCTGGGTGCTACAGAGAAGGAAGTCCATCAGTGGCAATTTAGTCAGAACTAGCACTTGGTAGGACAGCCATGAAAGCTTTAGAAAAAAAATATTCACATTGCATGATATGTCTATACCTACAAAGATCAGAATTTTGCAAGCCATTGTATTTTCTGTGACACTATAGAAATGAAAGTTGTACTTTGAAGAATCAGGATAGGAAGAGTATTGATACCTTTGAATTTTGCTTTTGGGAAGGCTCCTGAGAACACTGTAGACAGTCAGGACAACAAACAAATGGCTCATTGGACAAATCAACCCAAAGTTCTTACTAGTGGCACAAATGAGTAGGCTCAAATTATCCTTCGGACATCTTATGCGAAGACCTAGCTCTCTAGAGAAGTCTCTAATACTGGGAAAGATAGAAGGAAAGAGAAGAGGATGACCAGCAGCAAGATGAAGAGAATCAATTACATTGGCAACTAATACACTGTTGAAGACCTTAAAGACCAGGTTAGAGACAGACCGTCATGGAGAAAAACTGTCTATGTGGTCACTAAGAGAAGACACCAACTTGGTGGCACATAATCAATCAATCAATCAATCAATCAATGCTTATCAACAGAAAATGCTACATGTTGCATGTGTTAATGGCTGGTAACCTATTTTTTTTTCTTTTATTATTAAAATGCATTTTTAGAAACTTCAGTTGATCCAAATTATGATGGGTAGTAGAGATCAATATTTCTGGGTCCATCAGATGATAACCATAGTATATAAAAGATTGTGAACTGGAATTTAAAAGCCTCCCAGAGTCACTTGTTGAGATGGGTGGCTATATAAACTGATAAATAAAATAATAAAATAAAATAAAAATAAAATAAAATAAAAGTGCATGAATTAACAAAGAGGAATGGATTAATGAAAAATAGATGTTGAGTGTGTATCAAGCTAAGAGAAAGAAGAAGGATGTCACTGATTTGCTGTTGTGGAATGGAGATGATAAATCCTTCCACTGATGTGAAGGTGTAGTTTTAATTATGAATTATAAAAGGCATGAATTGGTTTCATCTAGATTGTCACTGGTGAATACAAAAGTAGGAATAAATAAGTTGGTTATAGCTGCATATTCCACTCCAGTGATGGTGATAATGGGAAAAAAATGTCTAGTCAGAAATACATATGGCAAAAGAAGGAATTAAAAAACATGATTCATCTGATCATTTATGATGAATGATTGAAAGGAAATGTGAAGGGGTATGGGGATGATGAAAAATTGTGAATGTGGGACAGACCATTACTTGATAGTGTCAAGAGTGGATCTTGGAAAAAAAATGCTCAAGGAAGAAAAAAAGTGAAAATAACTAGAGGGGTAGTACGATGAGAAAGTACAAGCACTGTATGAAAACATTAACAACAATTAGAATAAATGGAAAGTGGACATAAAGGAAGACAATATGGAAGCTGCTTGGAACAAAGTGAAATGGAATGATGAAGAGAAAGAGGATATTGATGAGAAAAAATTGCATATGATCACTGCAAAGAGAGGATGAGAAAGTTATTATGTAATATCTATAAAGATAAAAATGTTGTTGCATACAAAGTAGTTAAAAAGGGCAAGAAATGGATAAGGTTGAAAGAGGCAGAGAAATATACAATAGTTTTGATAGAACTAAAGCAGATGTTTTGAAAGTGGGTGAAAAGGCCAAACAATTAATTAATTAATTAAATGAGAACTCCTGGAAGCATAACATTCGAGATTTTTATGGGAATGATAGTGATACATTGAAAAGTGGAATTGAAGTTAACACATTTAGTGTCTTCCCCCACACCAAAAAAAAAAAAAAACCCTCACTGATGGGAAAGAAGTAATAAATGCTGTGAGAATGTTGAATACTGATAAGGTACAGATATACAGTAGATGGTGTAACTGGAGAAATATTAAAATATGAAAGTGATACAGAGTGGCTGTGTGGCTTGTTTAACATATATGTGAAGTTTGCAGCTTTGGCTGATGACTGGAAAAAAGGCATTATTGTTCTCCTATAAAGAAGGAGGAGAAGGAAGAATTAGTGGAGTTAGTTTGAAATGAATTTGGGAAAAGGTTTGACAGAATTCTGATGAAAAGGAGGTAAAAATAAGCAAAATTTAGAAAGGTCAGTAGAAGTTTTAAGCTGAGCAGGTGATGCACAGACCAATTCTTTGCTCTACAGCAGGTAATTGAAAAATATATGTATGTGAAATAGAATATTTATAGTATATTTAGTTAGAGAAAATATATGATAAAGTGAATATTCATTAATTAATTTTAGATTATACAAGCATATGTATGCTGTCTCTTCCACATATTCTAGGAAACTAACAATCATAAAAAACAAAAACAGACTGAAGCAACCACAATGTAACGCTCCCTCTTGTACTGCTGCCTGTCTAAGAGTTCACCTCGCCAAAGGCCCTGTGGAAGAGCACAGCTTTTAATGTTTTTCTAAATGTGAATTGGTCGGGGCTCATCCAGATCTTGGGGGACAAACTAGAGTAACAGGGATGCAATTGAGAAGGAACTACAGCACTTCTTGACTGGCATGTTTTGGATGGGCAGATTCCTCTTGGAGTAGATGGTCCAGAAGGCGATGATGACCATAAAGGGCTTTATAGATAATAAACAGCACATTGAATGGATACATAAACCTGCTAACAGCCAGTACAATCCCAACAAATAAGTGTTATTCTACTAAATTTATTCTGCGCCAGCTGTAGCTTCTGGATCTTCTTCAAGGGCTGCTTCCATGTAATGTGGATTGCTGCAGCCCAACTGAAAGATGGCAGTCAGTCACAACCTCCAGGTACCAGGTCAAGATTTCCATTGCAGTTCCTAACTGGTCAGGTCCATTGTCTCCTTCACTGCTACATGGTGGAAGTTCAAGGTCTTATTATTAAATAGATTTGGCATTTGAAAGAGCCAGTCTGACTGAGGCCGAACCCCAGCAACTCAGCATCTAGCATCTCAGCCGGGGGGGCGGGGGGGGGAGGGAAGAAGAGGGAGAAGGATGACAAGATGCAATGTATGAATCAGTATATGAACATAATGGAAACATGGATAGTTTGCAAGGATATAGAGGTATGGAGAGATACAGTGACCATTGTAAATGCAAGCTACATTTAACTACATTTCTTCTTTTTTCTCATCTCACACAACTAAATCCTTCTTATCTTACTATTTCTTCCTTTTTTCCCATAATGCTGTTTACTCTGAAAGGGAATAGTAAAGTAATTATATATTAAATATGCATACAGCAATTGCCTGGCTACCATGATGGCAACTTGGAATGAGTCTAATTCAGCACTGGCCTTGTTGCAAGTTGGCTTCCATAGGTTTCACCTCTTCAAGTGCTGAAGAGACCGTCTTGAGATGCTTTCTTGATGCAACTCTTAGTAGATAAGCCAGGTTGGAAAGAAGGTCCTTACCCTACCTTTAGTCTAGAATGGAAAATCTCAGAAATGTCTTAATGTAGTGTCACTGCACCACAATTTCTCCTTTTCTGCACACATCAGGCTGTTGTTACTAACTTAGACTTGTTTAATTTCCATAGGACTATAGGCATTCTGCATGGGATGAAACACAATGCAAAGTCCCTCCTTACAACCTTGTGTGTAA